AGGATTTTATTTGGTAGCATGACTGCCTTTCATTGTTGCTGGAATAACCACCAGTCCCATCTCAAACAAAATCTCTGCATGGCAGTGAGGGAGGAAAAGAGAGGGTGCTACAACTATGGCTCTTTAGAGAAAAATTCACTAGTAGTATTTCCAACAGTAGGGATGTAAATAATGCCCATGTAAAATTTACTTGCTGTAAAAGGAAGCCTGTGATCATGTTTTGTTTCCATGTAACTAATTTAGTACATTGAGACTTGTCATACTACTGCTTCAGTCTTGGGCACTAAATGTGTGCACTAGCTCTGAAAGTTGCAACATTTAATAATTTACAGCAAGAAGAGGAGAGCAAGATGGCATCGTCTTAGAGGACTCAGATTGCATCCTGGAGCTGGCAGGTGATGCACACTGGTTACATACTTGGCTGCTCGGAGTTAAAGGCTGGAGACATTCATCACCGTCAAGTATTTTAAGATGCTTGTTGATACTTGGACATGAATTAAATGTTTTAGGTTCCAATTAAGATTATTTTTTTTCCCTATGGTGTTTGTTTTGCATGCCCTCAGCAGGAAATGCTGGGGCTTAAGGAAGAAACAGACATTTTTAGTGCTGTTCTTTCCCGTCCCATCTGAAAAACAGAATTTTGTTTATGCTGTATTGGGACCAATATATCAGAATGACTCCCAGATACACAATTTCTGTCATGTGCAACTTAACTCGCCAAAACATTAGCAACATTCTTCATGCAGGTATTCACGGTTGCTTTTGTAAGTGGAGGAATTCATATTGATCCAAGGACCTCTAAAGAAATTCAGGGCTTAAATAACACCATCTTATTCACAGAAAGCAATGCCATAACTAGATCGTATTTTAGTGTTAGCTTCTGTTTTAAATTGTGTTGTAATATTCTATGTAAAAATTTAATTTCACTGCAACCTGTGACTTGATAGCAGAATTGGTTGCTGGGTAAATGGTTCAGTTAATTACTGAAACTGTGATCTCAAGCAGGAGAGCCAAGAAGGAATGCAAGATGAGTGGTAATATTTTAAATAATGAACAAAAACTTATAGACTGGTCAAGGGAAGGGATAAGTTTTGAAGAATAAATGGCAGCAATACATTTCTAATTGCAAGAACTGGTGACCTCAGTCAAACCCTGTTACTCTGCTGTTGTAGGGGATGTAGCCAGGCAATTCCTTAAGATATAGATTGGTTGAAGCTCTGTGTATACACCCTATTCAGAACTTAAGTCTTCTGAATTTACTTTATTTTACTCCAGGTCCGGAGTATGAGCCAAAACCTTTCAAGGAAAGGTCTTCTAGAGGAATTTTTGCCATTTCCCCGCTATGCCTTCCCTGCCCTCAGTGGGATTGACTGTGACTCTCACAGATGATTTGTGAATTGGCTTTTAAAAATGAACCACAGAAGCTGTGCTTCCTGCAGCAACCATCTTCTCTCGCGGGAGCACTTGTGTTCTGGTCAGTAAATGCTAAACTTCTTGTTCCTGCTACCTGTTCAAGTGCCCAAATCCCTGTTTGTCCCATCCTCCCTGCCCCTCTAGGGACTTGATGTGATTGTTTACCCTACAAGGCCATCGTGTCTTCATCGTCTGGAGCTCTGTAACGCTCTGCAAGTCCCAGTTTTCTTTTTTTCTGTGCCCCCATGTGCATCTCAGGTGGCACACGTGGTGCCCCCCGCCAGCCGTGCCGCCTTACCCCTGCCCTTCCACAGCAACATTCCTCAGCAGCCTCCTTGGCCATGCTGCTTCCCTACAGTTCTCTGCTGTCTTAATCATTTTCATCATCCTATATATTGATAGTTGGTGATACACAAGCATAGATAGATAGATGTGCATATGGATAGAAACTGACAGGTGCGTGTATGCATCCATCCATATTAACATTTATAAGAAGTATTTATATTTGATAACCATTAGCTTTCAGTAAGACAGCAAAAGAAAAAACACATTTTATTCTCTGATGTATAATTTGCCAGTACTCAGACTCATTGAAGTGTGTTTCTGATCCCACCTCCCTCTTCCTCCCTCTCCCACTTGTATATAAATATGGAAACAAGATTTTGAAGCAATATAAACTGTAGCTATAGGATTTGTGTATGTGTGTGACCTTTGAAGGCTTTATAGAAATGTTGCTTTAAGTGTGTGCACTTTTCTGACAGATTGAGGCTTGCTTCATGTGTATCAGTTAAAATAAAAACAGCATAACTGGAAAATAACAAATTATGACTGAAATAGTTGTAACAGGCAATTGACGTTCATATTTTATTTTATGTAATATATAGTCATTCTGACCACTACTTTGACAAAATTTGACACTTCCCTTTTTCTCATGAAACATTAGGAGATTTCTTCATACATTGTTTTAAGCATTCATGTAACTTTTTTATTTTAGAAAAATAGCAATATTATTCTTATCCCCCAAATTATTATATCTTAACTTCTGGTTTGTGCCAAACTCTTTTTGGCTCGGTTTTATGCCAGTTTAAAAAGCACAAAACCACATTCCTGGATTGTTCCTAATAATTACATAAAACTGCTCTTATTCCATTAGTTTTAAAATGAAGAAAGAAACTTCGTTTCTGTTTCAAGCTTAGCTGATTTAGTGAAGAAAGGAAACATAATTGATGTTTGGGTAATTGAAACAATCAACAGTGCAGCCAGGCACTTATAATGAATGGTTTGTAGAAAGGTGTGATAATAGCAGCATAGCTGGGAGAAACACAATCTGTGGGAAAAGTCATTATTAGTGCAGCATTGTTTTTTATGTTGTACCAAGATTATAAGCAGCAAAAATGTCATTCACTGTTCCCATAAGCAAGATAATGCTTTGATGACAGTGGGTGCTCAAGAATCTGGAAATGTTGATTAAATTCAGAGCCTCAGCAGTTCCTGGTAACCAACGTGTTCTGGAGTTAATTTAGATTTCAGAGAACTATTATTAAATCTGAAATTTTTTATTTTGTTTTGTTTTTTTTTTTCCCATTCACAGTAGCCTTTATTCTGTGTAGAATGTAAATATCTGATTGCTGAAAAATCACTAGCACATATGTAGTCATCTCTTGATAACAAGAGATCATCCTTAAAAAGCAGAATGAAGACAGAAATAACTTGTACAACCACCAAGCATTAGTCACACGTAGCTCTTATATAATGCTTACGTCTTCAACCAGCGTGCTGGCAGCTGGGCTTCTTTGTAATATTTATTTGGAGAAGAAATATCTGCCTCATTTGGCAGAGGAAGAACATAAAGCCAAGAGCTAAGGGGCATGCTGGGGGCCACACAGCGCTGAGCTGGTGAGAGCATTACAACGAAGAAGTGTCCATCATGGTACATAGAGCAAAGCCAAGAGCAGAGTGGAGGTCTGTAGAAGTGCCGCCTCGTGTGTTTTCCCCCCCAACCCCTGGCTTTCTGGGTATGTTATTTTTGAGGCAGAGCGAGTGACTGCTGCAGCAGCAGTTGTAGTTCCCTTTTTGTTGTTCGAGGTGAGGAGGCGTATTTCCTCTTCCCTCTATTATGCCTTGATGAAAAGGACAAAAAAAAATACATAGCTTGAAACACTGAAAATGGCTTTTCAGCAGTTGAAAACCAACATGTAGTAGGCTTAAGCGTGCCAGAGCTCTTGAACACGTCTGTGCTAACCCTAGCACCAAGAGGAACGTTCATATGCACAGATTTTCCTTTGTGGATTTGCCCACTGCACTGTGACTCCGTAGTCATAGCAAGGTATGAAAATGGGTGGGATTCTCTGAGAGATAAGATGTTTGTGTATGGGAATTTCCTTGTAATGGTTCGGTAATCATTATGGCTGCTTTCTTTTGGTTGGTCTCGTTATTTCAAACATATTGAATGTTTGTTCCCAGTTGAAGACTATTAAGGACTATTAAATGGAGTTGGAAGCACTTGGTGATCTCATTCTGAAAGTTTATTTCTTGAGGCTGAAAAGAATTGCATTGCAATCAAGTTTTAATAAGTACAAGAAATCAGAGTACTTTAAGGGGATGCTTGAATTCTTAGCTTATTGTTGTGTTTATAGACAGTGAATTATGTTATAGCTTGGTTTGTCTATAACCATGTGTTATGTTTTCAGTTCTTCCTTTTCAGAACTACACGTAACAAATGGTGTTGTTTTCTTTGGTTGGTGTTCTAAGATGAGCTATCACAGGAAAAATTGTTGATTTCCCTAGAGATTATTCATGACTTTATGATTTTTACATAATTTTTGGAATAGAAAAGTCAAACCAAAGTATTGGAAAACCAGGACTTCAATTATCAAACAAAACAAAGGTGGCTTTTCTTTAAGGGAAAAATCTAAATTACATTGCTATTAAATGTACTATAAAATTGCTGTAAAATTGTAACAAAAGTAGTGCTTTTAAAAAAGAATTTCATTTACTTAATTTGTTATAGAAGTCTAGAAGCTAAATGAATGGTTCAGGGAAAGTGAAGAGGAGGTAATTATAAGAATATAAAGTTGTACACACATAGCCATCTGGTAGCAATTTTAAAACAGAAGTAATTGGTTTCTTTTACTTCATACAGTGTAATTGTGGAACTTGTTGCCACAGGGTTTACAGAGGCCAAAATTGTAATTGGGTTCAGAAAGGAATCGAGTGAGTTCATGGTGGATACGTAAGAGAATGTTAAACAATCTGGATGCAGTCCTGGCAAAAGTAATCCTATTTTTTTGAGAATTTCTGGAAGGTGGAAGGATTTAGGAGCAGGATCTATTTGTTTCCTTTATTATTATTTTTTTAAATGACATTTCTCTGTCACAAAGTGCATTTGCATTTTCTTGCAAACTTGAAAATGTTTGCAGATGCATGTATGCGGAGTTACTTCCTAGGGGCAGTTAAAGTTCTTCATAAGCTTTGAATGCACCTACCCTTATTCTCCGAGGTCATATACACTGACACGTAGAAAACTATTACTCAGAAAGATCTGATGATGCGAAATAAATAATATGCCTGCTCTTTGTTTGCTTTAGGACACCGAGACTTGTTTGACCATTCGTCACACAATGCAAGCTCAAAAGTAAAAGAGAGGAAACTACAAGGGACTTGTCCTCCTGTTGGTCGTGGAAACTATGGAAAACCATGTTTAAGTGAAAGCAGTCATAGGTCCCCGTTTTTTAATCCCCGTAATGGTTTTCACACGATACATTCAGAGCACAGTCCTGTGAAACCAAGGATTATTACAGTGGTGAAACCCGGTGGACGCACACTCAGAAGGATAACCTTGCTTCTCAACAGGAGATCGGTCCAGACCTTTGAACAGCTGATGGCTGACATTTCAGAAGCTCTGGGATTTCCACGCTGGAAGAATGACCGTGTGAGAAAGCTTTACAATCTGAGAGGCAGAGAAATATGTAGTGTCTCTGACTTCTTCAGGGAAGGTGATGCATTCATAGCTATGGGGAGGGAGCCCCTCACTTTGAAGAACCTAGAAGTGGTATTACAAGAACTTTATCCTGAAAATCCATATGCTGCCAGTGCTGCCATTCAGCAGAATGAGGAGCAATCCCAAAAACTGAAGAGCAGGCTGTATGACAAGGCTTCCAAAGTAGACAGTGGCTTTGATGAGACAGAAATTACCAAGAGCTGCAGTGGTAGCATGTCTCCCAAACTGGTAGCTGGACATGAAGGAAAAAGTCAAGTCAAGACAAAGCAAGAGGAAAAAATGAGAACCAAAAAAAAGTGGAGTAGAGAGAGCTGGGGTGGTGAGCAAGGAGTGAAGTCTTCTAGAAAAACCCGAGAAAGCGAGAGGTACCTTAACCGTGAGAGGAGTCCTGAGGATGGATTAGAAGAGAGTTCAGAGGAGGTGCTGAGGTGTGAGAAGTGTGAACAGGAAAGGCAGGCCAGACAGAAGTTACAAAGGGAAAGGCAGGCTGAGGCCTCATTTGAGAACAGAGACCTGAACACAGGCGCATGTCAGAGGTACAATGTAGAAAGAAATGCAAAAGTCAGGAATTGCCGAAAATCTTCAGAAACTTGTCTGGAAGGTGAGGAAGTTGTTTGGAAGGATAATGGCTGTAGGAGAACATGGAAGCCCCTACATAGGAATGTTAATGAAGGGCTGGAGAAGCAAAAAAGGAGCATTGAGAAGGAAAGGGATGTGGAGAAACATGAAAACCATGGGAAGGAGGTAGTAAAAATCAAGAAGAATGCTGCAGAAGGGCTGCAGCTAACTCATGAAGTGAAGGAAGAGAATGGAAGTAGTTGTGTAATGAACCAAAGTGGTTGGCTAAAGAAAGACATTCCGAGGGATGCTGAGAAACCATCTAAAACACATAGGGAGGGCAGAGAGGGTCAAAGGGCTAAAGAAGAGGGTGCCAGGAGAGAGGGGAATATTGCACATAGAGAGTGTGACATGACGCGACGAGAAAAAACGGGAGAGCGCAGAGTGAATAAAGAAGAAAACAAGGCTCAGGGATTGGAAAACACAAGTCGGAGGCATGCCATTAAAGCCAGAACTGATGTGGAAAAACACTATGAGATTGGCAGAACTATTGGGGATGGGAACTTTGCAGTGGTGAAGGAATGTCGCCACTGTGACTCCAATCAGATCTATGCCATGAAAATTGTTGATAAATCCAAGCTGAAGGGGAAAGAGGACATGATGGAAAGTGAAATTCTGATCATTAGGAGTCTCTCTCATCCCAATATAGTAAGCTTAATTGAAGTGTATGAGACAGAAGCTGAGATTTACCTAATCTTAGAGTATGTTCCAGGAGGGGACTTATTTGATGCAATCATAGAAAGTGTGAAGTTCACAGAGCATGATGCTGCTGTCATGATCACCGACCTGTGTGAAGCACTGGTTTATATTCACAGCAAGAACATTGTCCACAGGGACCTCAAACCAGAGAATCTTTTGGTAAGTATTGGCAAACACATTGCATATGTACAGGAGTTGAATTTATTTTCCTTTTAGTTATGGATCTTTGAATATTTGAAGAGATAATGCGCTGTGGGTGGCAGGAATGTTTGGAAAAACGGGTACAATTTTGAAGTGAAATTACTGTTACAGTTTACTTCACGTATATCTGCTGTTCACTGAAGATAGCAGTGCTTGCAGATAGAAATTCAAATAAAAGTGACCTGGCTTTCAGGGGTAGTGAGCATTTGTTTTTTTCTGGAAATTGGGTATCTTACTTAGCATCTGACTTTTAGGTATACAAGGATGAATTTTTTTGCATGAAGTGTGCACGGGATCATAAGGCATCTCTCCTGCAGACCAAAATTTATTAAAATTACTAATTTAGCTGATTTGTTTAGTGGACTTTTTGTCCACTGCAGTCACACATCCTACAGACTGCTGTGCTGGTCTTCTACTGTAGTGATTTCTATCTTGTGACAATTTTTTTTCTTAGAAGCAGAAGTATGATGCAGTTGATTGAAATATCTGACAGTAAAATGTGAGTTTTTTGGTGAAATACAGCTCTGAAGTCGGCTCAAATACTAACTTCATGCCAAAGAGAAAAGTTTTTTCCATCATATTTCTGAGGCTACATTCATTGCATCCAGCACTGAAGTCAATAGAGTTGCTCACATGTGTGAATATGCATAGAAATGTTTGCAGTATTAACACTTGACAAGACACCCATTGTAGAACAGTGACAGTAAACAACTCGCCCTTGCTAATTAGCTGTTACACTCTTGTACTAGGATTCCAAATTTCCTGAGATACTAAATATTTGCCAGTCTCTAACAAATCGGATTTGATCTGCTGGTGGAAGATTATAGTTAGCCAGAAAAAAAGGTAATAGATGATTTAGTCCTATGTGCCATTCAGTTATTTAAGGGAATTAATTCTGGGAAGATATCAGTGTGAGTTTCTGGAGAGAAGCAGTAGTGTATCCTGTGGGACATGCAGAGGTTGTACAAGGCTGGGCCTGAACTGTTTGCTCCCAAACTTTTTGACTAACCAGTAGCATCTATACTAGGTCTTGCTATGCATTCTGCTTAGTCTGATTAAAATCCTTGGTATGTAGTCCATGTGTAAATAAAAGATGGTGTGTGCAAGTGGCTGGTTTGCAGGAAGAAGGAGGCTTGTAGGCCCTGCCTTCATGCCTTGTTTTGCTGTTAGAACAAAACTTCTCTTAGAATTTCAGAGCTTTATCCAGAAGCTTATTTTCCATTATGAACCAAGCTCTGCTCCTTCCTATTTGCTGAAAATAAGCTAGTGCGTGTGAAACACCTGAGACCAGATGCTTCATTTCCCTCTCTAATATGTGGTCATTGCAATGATGCAGGCAAGCAAAGAGAGGCAAGATACAGGTCCGTTCTGGTTGTTTTCACATTTTGTTCACAGCACTGCAAAACAGAGAGTGCTGGTCAGTGGCAAAGATGTGTAGCACTGAAATAATCATGTTGCCCATTCTGGCAGTCAGAAAATATTTTCCAAATACAGACTGGCCTCTAGCCTGTAGGTATTTTATCATATGAGAACAATGTTACCCAAATACTATGGGAAAGAAAATTGTACCTGTTCCAGTTTCACCTTGCTGCTAATTGGCTGTGAACACCTGTATTAGTTATCATTTACATAAAGCATCCTTTTGAAAAGTTAGCCTGTTCAACAAGCTAAATGAGTTTATAAGCTCTTGATAGTGTTGGATAGCTTGTGCTATCTAATAAGCATCCCTATAAATACAGGCCAGTTGAGCAAGATTCTGGCTTTTCTGACTTTTTAATGTGCTGCCTCTGACTCCTTAGGCTGACTGGAGCAGTAGCAGCAGAGTAGGAAGGAGAGCTGCCCCTAAACATCAGCCAGTGCTGAACCATAACAAACAATACTGAAGCAAATTCAGTGGGTTCATCTGCTGTTGGTGAGTCAGGGGCAGCCTCTGGAGAGAGGAAGCACAGTGCTGGAAGTGCTGTTGTCCTGCAGGGATGTCCTGGGTTGTGGGATACCTCTTGCTTCACTTCAGATTCCTGCACTGCGGGTGTTTAAGTCTGAATTGGTCTCCCTAGACTTTGTACACAGAAGACAGAAACAGGTATGTACTTTTAGGCTGTTGACTTGTTTGTCCTACTTCGGGGTCTTCTTTTAGTCAGGTGAATCTTGTCCTTTCTTTTTTTTGTCAACAGGTTTTTTCCCTAACCCTTTCCAGCAAATGGGAAATTGAAGAGAAAAGATCCTTGGTCTGTTTTATAAAGGAACTGTGTTTGTCTACTATAAACCTACTTTGCGTGAGAATCCAACCCTGTTCCTAATGACTTTTTTTGGCTAATTTCCATCAGAGTTGACAGAGAAGCAGCAAACTGGGAAAAAAATATTTTCATACTTTTCACAAAAATAAGCAGCTGAGTAAAGAAGGAAAACTGTTTATCTCCCTGCAAAGGTGGAAATACACTTTGACGTCTAGTGAATTGTAAAATTATTGACACAGGAGAGAGTTGGAAACCTAGTTTAATTATTAGTTCAATGCACAACTGTTCCTCTTACAGAACTGTCCTCTAGTTTCAAGCTTCTGTAACAGTCCACCATCATTCTTTTCGGTTTTCCCTCTCCCTCTTTCACTACTGTGTCTGCCCACAATGATCAGACTCCTTGCAGCATAGCTGTGAGGCAGAAGGGTGGTGACTTGCGCTACAAAAACAAAATCTGTTTGACAGCTGGTGTGAAGACAGATGCTCTGACTCCCTCCCATCTGCTAACAGAATCACCTCATTTAGGACTAGGTGTTCAGCAAGAAAACCTTTCCTACCAAGGATGAGCAATGCGGTGTGTTTGGTCCCACAAAAGAAGCCAGTCACTTCTTTAATGCTACCACCAGAATTTGGTGGCAAGGTTTTTAGCTGAGGGACTGTTGAATTCTACAGGTGTTGGCATTTCTTGACTTGTGAGAAATTAATTTCAAAGTGTAGTGGTGTTTTTCCATATTATAGCTGTAAAAGATACAGTCACTTCCTCGCACCCTTTTAGGGGTAAAGGGGAGGGTTGCGTCTGTGATTGTATACTCATCTCCATGTACACTTCCCAGACATACTAATGTGGTAATTGTTTAACACTCAGCTTCATAAGTAGTATGTTATAGCTTTTTATATGTTTGAGCTTTTTCCTTTTTTTCTGCCCTCTTTCTCTCAAGTTTTCGTATATATATGAGAATGTCAAGTGTAGCCTTTTTGTCCTTTAACTTCGCTTTTGTGACACTACATATACACAAAGCACTGTCAGAGGTTTCAGGGTGCATTTGAGTTAAAATTCTGTTTAACCAGTTGCTTATTGAGAGTTTTCAGTATGATAAACTTTCATAGAGAGTTTTCTGTAAGATTTTTCAGAGATTCTTCTAGCTTGCAGCAAGGGATGTCTGAAACTCAAACGTGTAAGCAGTACTTGTTCTTTAGCCCTATTTCTAACATACAGAATGGACTAGCTTGCTTTCATGATGTGTAGAAGAAGAACCTCTGCTACCATATATAGGTGCATACAGAGAAATATTAATGCTATTATCATCATTTATCTTAAACACCCTGATGCATTTCACAGGGTAGATATGGAAACAAACAAGAACATGAACTACTGGGAGTCATCAACAGACAGGAGAAAAGGAAAAGATCAATTTATCCCTTCTCTGGAGATGAATTTGGCTTTGTATTAGTGTATTATAATCTTCTGGGTGTATGGCTGGGATATCTAGAAATCCTCAGACAATATTCTAATGTCCTGCTATGGCATCTGTATTTGAGTAGTGAGCAATTCTGAGAGCCTTTAGTTCAAGACTACCAGATACTGGCTTTCCTTGCAGTTGAAGGACATAAGTAGTTGTATGGCCCAAATTGTCTGTCTATAGAAAGTGTACTGAATACTGGTCTTCCTTATCTCAACTCTATAGGCAGGTAAGACAAGGCAACAATTTTAAATGGACTTCTGGAACTATTCTTTGTAGTCTTGAATGCAGAAACAGCAATAGCTGTCTTGTAGGTGTCACAGTAAGGCTAGTATGTTCGTTTAATGTTACCATTTTTGCTTTGTTCTCAACATTTCACAGAGCACATACTTTAGATGTCAGAGGCTAGATTTCTCTTGTACAGGTTATCACATTTCTGTGATACTGCTATGAATAAATAATCTGGCCTTAGGAAGGAATAAAAGCAGCCTGAGAAGCTTTTGTTTCTACAGTGAAGCATATTTTCATTGCTCGAGGTGATACCAGGTGACGGAAAGGTAGATGGGAGAGTACGAAGTTGGGAATGAAGGGAACACTTTGCCCGAGCTGACTTTGAGTTGTTCTGAGCATAGTATTAGTGAAGATGCTGAGGAGTTCTGGGCTGAGGTTTTCAGGCGTGCTGACAGGCTACATGCTGTCTTTGAAATGATTGTCACAAAGCTGTCAAAATATACCCACGGTGCATGCTGTTCCTACCTGTTCGGTTGTTAAATAAAATGAAAGCCCGGTGTTTTTTTCTGAAAGAACAGATGGTGCAGTGTTGCCACCTTGTGCTGTGATGAGAGATTAAGAGTCTGGTGTCCTGATAAAAGAAAACATACAACAGTGGTGTATTTTACAAAGCAAGACTTTTCCTGCTGATTTGGGGACTGGGATTAATACCAGTGTGTTCTCCCCACCCCCCTGCTGGTTTCTAAGAATTTATATAAACCTTTCAGTATTACTTGTCTTAATGCAGTAGCATGCAGGATCTTAGTTGAAATTCCATGTGACACTATTTTCTTACATGATTTTAGAAGCTTTATTTATACAATTGGAAAATATATTGATGCTCATATTTTCATAGTATATATAAAATTGAGCATTTCAATTGTGAGTTTCTGTAGCATTCTACCACTATTACCCCTATTGTTAGAATATAAATCCCGTGAATAGATGCTGCTATAGAATGTAACTGTTACCTTTGTAATTTATTTTACCTTTTTGTCAGCTATTGTGTCCACAACGCATCATAGCTGAGTAATGTAATGGCTATGGCATTTTAGTTTTCTCCTGCAGAAATTTTGACTGCATGGTTGTAATAAGCCTTATTTTCAGTTTCATACTGAAAAACACTTTTTCTTAGAAAAACAGAAAAAAACCCAAAATGTATTGCCTAATCAAAACTAGAAGAGTGCTTATTTTCTATAAAGAAGTTAAAAAAGGATTAGTGGGCTATAATGTATTTTTGTAATGTAATTTTTTTCTAAAAAAAAAAAAAAAGAAAATAACCAAAACCTTTTTGCTTAATCAAAATTGGGCGAGTGCTTACAGTTGCTATAAAGATGATAAACGGGCATTAGTCAGCTGTAATGTAGGAGAGCAAATTTTGTCCTCTCTGTGCCATTAGTTGTCTTGTAATGGAGACCATTTTGAGTTTTTGGCTTTCTCAAGCACTGTCTGATGGCAAAGTATGAGGTGTTAAAGCATGAAGCATACCTGTTGCATCATACTCCAGTTTGTCCATTCAAAACTGGAGTGCAGATTTCCTTGGCAATCTTGTAGACATTTTAGCTGCTGCTGTGTGACCCATAGTTCCAGAGCAGAGCATTTTTCATTTAAAGCAAAGTCATGACATTTCTGAACCTCTTAAAGAATATTTGAATATCAGTCGCCAGTATTAAGAATACTACATTCTTCATGACTTGGCCTTTGAATATAGAATTATACACTAGTTTGGATTGGAAGGGGCCTTTAAGCATCATCTAGTCCAACTGCCCTGCAATAAGCAGGGACATCTTCCATGAGATCAGGTTGTTCAGAGCCCTGTCCAATCTGGCCTTGAATGTTTCCAGGGATGGGGCATCTACCACCTCTCTGGGCAACCTGCTCCAGTGTTTCACCACTCGCATGGTAAAAAATTTCTTCCTTGTATCTAGTTGAATCTATCCTCCTTCAGTTTAAAACCACAGACCCTACTAAAAAGCCTGTCCCCATCTTTATTATAAACTCCCTTTAAGCCCTGGGAGGCTGCTCGAAGGTCTCCCCGGATCCTTCTCTTCTCCAGGCTGAACCCCCCCAACTCTCTCAGCCCGGCCCCCCAGGGGAGCTGCTCCAGCCCTCTGATTTTCATGGCCTTCCTCTAGACTGGCTCAAGCAGGTCCATGTCCTGATGTTGGGGGGCCCCAGAGCTGGCCCCAGCACTGCAGAGGGGGGTCTCAGTGGAGTAGAGGGGGTGAATCCCCTCCCTTGACCTGCTGGCCATGCTGCTTTTGATGCAGCCCAGGACACCGTTGGCTTTCTGGGCTGTAAGCTCACACTGCTGGCTCATGTCCAGTTTTTCATTCACCAGTACCTCACGTCCTCCTGCACAGGGCTGCTCTCAATCCCTTCATTCACCAGCCTGTGTTGATATCAGGCGTTGCCCCAACCCAGGTGCAGGACCTTGCACTTGGCTTTGCTGAACTTCATGAGGTTTCCACAGGCCCGCTTCTCAAGCCTGTCCGGTCCCTCGGGATGACATCCCTTCCCTCCACCGTGTCAGCTTGGTGTTGTCTGCAAACTCACTGGGGGTGCAGTCGATTTCACTATGTCATTGACATATTCTGTTTCTTAAAATAATGTTTCATTAACTGCGTTACAAATTAATGCTGAAGATACATGCATACAAAATTAGAATGGGAAGAAGTGTTTTGATTACTTTTCAGGGGGATGTAGATGGGAATTGCTGAAAAGACCCATTTAGGAGGACATTCTGTGTGGATCCATTTCTCCAGCTCTTTCTGTGTGATGACTGTGACTCATTTATTTTCAGGGCAGCAGGTAGAGTAGCAGAGTAATTTGCAAAGGAAGTAAAGCTTTTGGCTGTTTGTTTGGTTTTCTTTTTACTAGACTGGTATGAAGTAGATGTGGTTTTCAGGTAACACTGTCAAGTCAGTAGCTTACCTGGGAATATTGCATTTAATCATAAAGGTGCCCACAACAGTCTTTGCTTTCCCAGGGGAAGAGTTTACTTTCTCAAGAGGAAATAATAATATTTAATTGATTCTTGTTTATTTTTTTCTTCCTCCTTTTAATTTCTTGGAAATTACAGTGTGCCAGAGTTTGTACAATGAAGTGTTCTTTTTTCTGTTATTGAGTGTCCTCTTAAATATATGCACTTTCTTAGTATAGGAGGAGAAAAAGACACTTTCTGAAGACTGTTTATCAAAATACTGTTTCCATTTGATGTTGCTTTACTTGAGGGCACTATTATTAGAACTTCTTCATGTTTATTATTAACTGCTTCCTTTATCTTTTGCTGCCTTAAAATGCATCTGGACTAAGTATGTGTATTTTTCATTGTGTATAGGTTCAGCATAATGCAGATAAATCTACTACACTGAAACTAGCAGATTTTGGCCTTGCAAAGCAGGTTACGAAACCCATATTTACCGTTTGTGGAACACCCACATACGTTGCCCCTGAAATACTTGCTGAGAAGGGTGAGTGTATATATTTATAATTTGTCATAAATCATACAATTACCCTGAAGTTTCTAATCATGGAAATATTCCAGAATGTTTCAACTTACTGATATGTCTTTATGGGGTAGGAGGTTGGCTAGTGGTGTAATCTGTGAAAGGAAAGGAAACCTTTAAGCTTTTAACAAACACAAGCATGACATTAGTCATGTTTGCATTATTAATGTCTATGGTAATAGAACACTGATTTCCAAGCAGACAATCCATAAAATATCATAAATGCTAATTGCTGAAGTGGGGAAATGAGCAAAAGTTCATGTTGCAACCTGAGGGTATTCAGCCCCATTTCACGACTGTAGCCCAAACAACTTTCCAAGTCCCCTAATGATGCAAAAACATTGTGAACATGTATGTTAAACTTATATAGCAAGCCAAAACATGTTTTGCATCTGAAGAAATTTTAGAGATTTCATATCCAAAAAGATTCAGATCTGGAAAGGAGTCAGTTCTGTTGATGACTCAAGCGAAGCTATTTCTGATTTTTGTTCTGTGAAGCTGGGTTGCACATCTCTGGTTATATCAAGTTTCAATGGAAACTTGGCACACTCTTAGTGCTTTTTTGAGGGGAATCTGAGGAGGACCATTTTAGAAATATATACTGTGTTTTCTCAATTAGTCTCCAATTGACACTGGCCTTGTGAGACAGTGTTTGTGAAACATGTTGAAGAGAGGCACTTTGTGAGAGCTGTAGTTAATAACAGGCAGAGCAGCTCAGCTTGTAAGCATGGTGTACCAGCCACTTATTCTTCTGCTGACCTTATTTTTTTGAGAAACTGAGCAGAGCTTCTGTTTTTCTTGGAAAATAGAATGAAAAAGAAACAGTTCCCTACCAGTTGTGAGTTTCCTTTCTAAAACAGGACTTTTGTTTTTTCTTTTCTTCCTTAGGCTATGGGCTCGAAGTAGATATGTGGGCAGCTGGTGTGATCCTTTACATTCTGCTCTGTGGTTTTCCCCCTTTTCGCAGTCAGGAACGTGATCAAGAAGAGCTGTTTCAGATCATACAACTGGGTCACTATGAGTTCCTTTCCCCATACTGGGACAATATTTCTGCAGGTAAGATTCAGTATTTAGAGCAGATCTGAGAAGTAACCGACCTGTTCCCTGGAGTGGGAGGAACTCCCTTTTATTCAGGACAGTGAGCTCAATGAACTTGGGGTGTCTTACAGGTCTCTTTTGTGTGATTCTGTATTTGCTTTAAATGTAAATTTAGTCCTCTGGTAGTATTGATGGCTGTGAATCTGCATATTAGGTCTGGCTTATTTAATTGATTGCTCCCTTTCTGAGACAAGAGCAAGGTTTTCCTCACCTTGCTTATACGAATTGTCTCTGTAGAAAAAGGTACCAAATTAATCTCCAGGGTTATGTTAGATTATAAAAATGTATCTAAAAATCTCCAAAACTGAGAATTAAATCCTTGGTCTGCAGAACGCAGTGTGGATTTTCTACTGAGATCAATGGGGTCTGCATTGAGTAGTTTTTTCCTTCTTGGACTCGTACAGTGTCTTTTATACACTCTTCAAAATCAGAAATCCTAAAACATCTCTCTCCTTATACAGTATTTTAAAGAACATGCTCAACAGCATTCTACGACTTTTATGCTTCTTGAGGGATGAGATACCCAATACTAATTCCTGTGAACCTGAACCCCAAACCTGATGCCTTCAGCATGCTTTTAAGATAAAATTCCCTTCACTTTCTCCTCTCTTTCTGAAGGGGAAAATAGTATCAGTAAAAGATATGCTGGAGATTTAACATCTTCTGTCACTAGTTCTAAATTCAGTTGTTAGAATATCTCCTGGGGATAGTCACAAAAGTCATTATGGTAAAACTAATAAAAAATAAGAAGGATATTCTGTGTTGGTATAACTGTCAGCAGCATCGTGTCACTGTTCTTTTCCCCTTTCTCCTTTTCTTTCTTTCATAATAGCAGCAAAAGACCTCATAACCAGGCTGTTGATAGTGGATCCCCAGAAGCGCTACACAGCACGACAAGTACTTCAGCACCCTTGGATCAGAACAGCTGGAAAAACTAACAGCAGAAATTTGCAGAGGGAAGTGACAATAAATATTGAACGCCATTTCCGGGCCCAGCGCCGAAAGGAAGTTGCTGATGAGGGCACGTGAAGTCTCTTCAAGCTCATTTAGTCGTCCTTTTGTTGAATAACAAATTATTTGTGTTTTCTTTTCCAAATGAATTGGGCCTTTAGTGTATAGCTGTTGCTGGCTATCGCCATGCCTGTTTTTTTTTTTTTTTTTTTTTTGTGGTTCTGAGATTCTGAAGGACAGAGATTCACATCCACTTCCCCAGATGGTACTTAAGAGTCTCTCTGTTGACAGCAGTGGGGACTGGATATTTCCTGGAGAGTATCTATTATTTTTCTTTAATTACTGATTTGGGCTTTTACATTACAAAATGTATATCTGTTTTAGATAACAGATGTATGCTTTTGTGGCTGACACTAGTGATGACTCTTCTCTTGTCTTATTTGTATGATATCTTCCAGGAGTTTTGTGTTTATAATGTTTTCAAAATAGCAGTCTGCATACACATCCTGCACTAATTCTCTAAACTGTCTTTTCACCAATTCCTGCTAGTAATGGAGAAGGTGAAGGAGTTAAAAAAAAAGTAAATATATTCTTTAGCTGTAGCATATGTTAAATAAGCAGCAAGATACTATTTATTAAGTTGTGAAGGAAGAAAAATCCTTATAGACTAAATCAGATGTTTTATGATATCTCCCTTGGCAACATCTTTCATTGGATGTTCTCAGGGACAGGGTAGTAGATGGTACAGTGTTTCTGTTAAATTATGGTGGTGCTGTGTAGTATGGTAGTTTCATTTGTTTATGAGAAGTGGGAAGGTATTGTGTCTGATACCTTTTCAAGACTATAATAATAACTTTCAAGGAGCTTTTCTTCCTACTCTGGGAAGTATAAGTTAAGCAATTCTAAGAGAACTTTGGTTCTTTTCCCAAAGGTGTATTTATGGAATGATAACTCAAGCTTTTTCTCATACTGATTTTTTTTCTTAGGAGCCATCCACATGCATCTGTGACTCTTCCATGCTGATGGAAAATACAAAGCTGTGAAGCTGCTTTTGTGATTTCAGTTAATCCTTATCTTCACGGTTCCCCTTTAATCAACACACTTCACAGCTTAATTGACTGTATACACTTTTTCAGTGTAGTTTAGCAATTGTTTAGTTTTTCTCCCCTGTTGTCTTCCCTGGGGACTCTTTCCCCTTGCTTTCATGAGAATGGACAATGAGATGAAATTCCGTTAAAATTCAACTTGGGGAAAAACAACAACTTGTTGGATACAGAAAAGTCTCCCAGGGGAAGTGTCAGATGCTTCATTGCATGTTTTTCTTATAATTTGATTGGATGCGATTTTAAAGAAATCCTGCAGGGAAAAAAATACAGTCCTGAGAAGGGACATGACCTAGAACAGCTTTTGAATCTCAGAATTTTTAGTTAACTAATCAAATCCAAAAAGCACTTGAGTTGTCCATTTTATAATGCTTTGTCCATGAGTTCCATGTTCTAGCAAATAATATTGATGTTAAAATATCAGTGGTATTAGCATTGAATTCATAGCTTGTAGAAATGAATGAGGATATTTTACAATTTCAGAGCTGATGCTCTGACTATGTATTTCACAATCAGAAATGTCAGAAGCATTTCAGAATTAGTAGAACATTTTAATAACTATATGAACCAGAATATTATTTTGGGTGAGTGCTAGTATTTTGTGTGAACTTTCTGAATTACCAAAAAGTGTGGGGTACAGTCATATTTCTGTTTCAATTTGTGACTGTTCTGCTGCAAGAATGATGTATGAAAGTAGAGACAACTTGGCTCTTAAAGGAGAATTGCACTTTCAATTTAACTTATTTTTAATATATATTGGAATAAGACTTGCTGTGGAGTTCAAGAATTTGTGAAACAAACCAGTCAAATCTTTACTGTATGCCCAAGTAGTATCTATATGATATGTCTTACCTCTGCTTTAGAGGCCCTGAGTCAGGAAGACTTTCCCTTTTCCCTTTTTAAGTGCTTTCCTGAGTTAAGGCTATGTGTAACCTAATAGTCTAAAAACATTATGTAGTCTTTGAGTATTAGTAATAACTTCTCCTCTGTTAATTTAAGTCTATTTTGGATAGGAAACTGTGGAAAAATAGCTTCTGACTTGCAATATTATATTTTGTAATTATCTTATTTTTAATATAGTCATTTAGGAATAAAGTTTGAAGTGACAAAAATAATATTTTATTGGCAATGAATCTGACAGTTTGGAGGTTGTGTTACGAGTTGCCTTTTTCACCTTCAAGAACCTGTCTACAGCCTTATTCATAGTGCAGAAGATAGAGCGTTTGCTTGTAATTAATATAAAAGTAATTATTTTTTCAAAGATTTTGGTTTTCTATCAAGTTCTCTGCGTCCCAGACAGACTAAACATGGACTGTGCTGCGAACTGTCACCGCATTGCATCTGTAAGTACAGACACTGCTGTGGCAGCGCTGAGGGACTGGCTTGTTGGTGTTGCTAATAGACATGTGGCGTTAGGCCCTCCTTCAGGTTGGGGGCTGAAAAAGCTTCCAGGTGCTTCTCAGGGTTTTTGCCTCTTTCTTCCTCTCTCCTACTTAGATATTCCTCCTTTTCTCCTGTTGCTTCCAGTGTTCTTGCTCTGCCTCCATGCTACTCTAAGGGGTCCGGGTCCCCAGTCCTTATGGAGTAAGTTGCTTGAAGCAATGAGAACACATATGATTTTGGAAAGCTCAGCCTCAAGCATTGCTTGCTGATGTTGAAAGTTAATAAGATTAGAGAGGTCTCACACAGGAAAACAGTGAAAAGCCCTTATTGGTCTCAAAGATGTCCCCTCACTACTGACTTTTCTCAATCTTTTCCCACTGCATGACATTCAGACTCAGACCTGATCTTTATGCTCTGTAAGACAGTTTCTAACACCTCAACCAAATTCAAACTCTAGAGTTGAGGAGTTTTGCTGTTCTGACTTCCTTTCCTGAGATTTTTCAAATGATTATTGGCTCCTTGGGTGCCGGAGTCATCTTCCCCTTATGCTTGCATTTCTTGGTTGGTTCCTTTGTCTACAGGAGGTCTGAGGAGGCTCAAAGCTGGGGAAGATTAAAGTCTCACAGAGAGCAAGTTCTTGCTTATTTGTTAGGGAGAAGAAATATCCCTCCTTGTCCTTCATTTAATCTGTGTGATTTAGACTTTCATACAGCCTTATATTCCACCGAAAGTAAAACAAGCTGTAGTGTTTCTAACTCTTTAGATACTAACAATGAAGAAAGTCAAAATATACCAGCAAGAAAAACAAACCAAAAACCCCAAAAAGTTAAGTGCGGAAAGTGAATTTGTACTGCAGACCTCAATAGAAAATATCCACTTACAGGAGATTTGCTAGGTCTCGGGCAACAGAAAGGAAGAACCTGTTTTTCCTGCAACCTTTTGCAAATCAGCTGAGTAGGAATCCTTTCATGTTTCTTACAGCTGTTGGTTGCCAGAGATCCTGACCAGGTTCTAGTTATTCCAGGGTTATTTCATTACTCTCTGGTATTGACTATTCCAAAATTTTTAGAAACCAGAGACCCTGACTCTCTGTTATCTTAAATCATAAACATAGTTGGTTGCAGTTTTTACACACTCTCGTATTTTCATGCCCTAACTGTAAGACTTCTCAGACTTTTGAGGCACCAAGATCCAACCATATAGACTTACGTCATCAATGTGTGTCACTAGGAAATTTAATTGCTGGGTCTGCACTTAAAATCACAGTCAAGGCTTTCAACTACAGTAGTGACAAAAGTGGTCACTGCAGTATAGCTGGGGTCTATGTGAGGATGTGCCTCTCCCAGAGATCAGCTGAAGAGTCCAATTAAGCATTTTGAGCATCCTTGAAAGCCAGTGTTACTAGTTTTGTGAATGTTAGGAGTTTCTGAACGTTAAGTCCAGGCTTTTAGTGACTGCCTGTGACTGACAAACTTAGTAGTAACTCTCTCCAGTGGTAAACTTTCCATTGTTTAAAGGTAGAGTGGTCCTTGCATGTCCCCTTACCATTTGTCCACCAAGGTCAACCTCTTCACTTTCAGGTATGTATTATGTTTCATTGATCCTAGACCTCATCTCCCTATTTTCTATCGCCTATTATCTGCCTACTGTCATCTACCTCTCTTCTCCCCTTGGATGACTCTCATTACTGAAAAATGGTGAAATCTTCACATATGAATATGTTTTTCTTCAGGAAACTCTGGCCTTAGAAATGGGACATAGGGATGGGAACAGCACAGGTAAATGAGCAAAATATTTTGAAAGTGTTCAGGCATCTGTAAGTGTACAAAAGATACTAGTGTTTCACATTGCATAGTGCATATCTACCTTAAAATGAACAATGGGAATTTGGTCCTTGCTTGTATCTTTAGCAACCTAATATTTAAAAATGTGTGTCCAAGAGACTTGTGATTGAAACTTGGCAGTACAGCAAGGACTCTGTTTCCTCTGAGACACAGACACTTTGGTTTCTTTTATTCAGGGTCCCTTCTTCTTCACTGAATATTGTTCAGCCATTCTGTGGGATAGCTGAACTGAGAACCCATTAAATCTGCCATCTGCGTTCTGACTGGCATTAGAGGTGGATTTCCCATATCTGTTACTGCAATTTTTGGCTGTGGGGTGAAAGAGGGTTAGTGGGATATTACCCTCTGAGCTGGGGCCTTTTGGGTTATGGTCCTACAGTGAAAGTGAAATTTCTGAGTTGGCTGCTTGCTTTTCTGCAGGTATCCGGATTTGGGGCAGTATTCAGTCTGCTTGAGAATATAGTAGATTTGCTGTGCTTATAAACTGATCTTCCCAAACACAAGTATCAGCCTGAAATCTTTCTCCTACCATTTCTTCTGTTGCCTAGATTTCTCTTAATTTAAGCAACGTATGGAAAATGTTTTTTAAGTTGCTGGGCATGCATTTTTCTGTCCTCTCTGAGTCCACTTGTACAATTCTTTACTGTTGATGTTCTTGTCCTGAAAGGAATATGGGCACTTTAACTGGGCTGACAGTGTATATTGGCACTGTTCGTTCTACAATGTGGTTTATTTGCAACTAGGCTGAAGGTGTAATTTTCTAAATTAAAATACATTATAGACTTCAGCAGAAAAGAGGTTGTTCCTTCGCTCCTGCCTCCCCCCCCCACACCCCGCCCTAAATAAAGGCAAACTATATATTGGATGTTATATTTCAATATTCTTTCCAATAAATTGGGAAACAATTGTGTGGCTGAGTATTTTGAGATTTTTTTTTTTTTCTTCTGACAATTTAACTATCTGGGAAATGCTCATTTTAAAAGGTTTTCAATTTTATTAAGTATTGTATGTACTTTCATTTACACTTAGAGGAGCCATTCTGATGCTGCAGTCCTTTGAATGCTTACAGATATGTTTTTCTTTGCTACTATATGTAATCCCCTTAAAACCAACACAATTATTTGCAAAACTGGAGCTAAGATTTAAACACCTTTTTTGTCCCTGTACTGCATTAATCATGTCTGCTACTATGTTAGAGCAATCATGACAAGCGGAGCTAGCTTCATGGAAGCTTAATGCACACAGAAGTGAATTCTCCCATCATTAATTCTTATTGTGTAAAATTTAAATTTGTTCAGAAAAAGATCTGCTTTGTGGAAACGAGCATTCTGTTTGAAACTGAGTGGGTTGCAAAAAGTGGCTTTTTCAAGGGACACTGTTTCTTAGTAGCTTGTGCATTTTTGAGTTGTGTTATTAAAAATGGTATTTTCCTGCACGCTTGGGGTATCAGCTGAAGCAACGTAAATAAAAATGCATCTGATATCCTGATGGTGTTTTCGAAGAAGCTACCTTCTCTGGGTGTGAGCATGCGTGATAAAGTGGCTGCCAGTGAGAATCAGTACAGGCTCTCATTTATTACATATTGAGACCACAAACGCCTCACTGCTCTTGGAATAACTGTAGACTCTTAGAAATTAATGGCTTTTATGATAATCACACAAAATTATTGCACTGCATTTTAACGGTATGTATAGGCAGCTATTTAAATCTGATCTAATGCTTTGCTGTTAGGAGTGGGGTTCAGCTGTGTTTCCCATGACACTAGCAGTTGAAGTCAGAGTCTAGCGATATTTTTTTTAAAAATGGGCCATTAAAGTTGTCACTGCTACATGCTATTTCTTTGGAAAAGAAAAGATGACCCCTTGTATCATCCAATTTGCCGATTCATTCTGTGCCTTGAGTTATAAACAGATGTTGCATTCATGCAGAATTTGATCTTTTGAAATTAGAGCTGTTTTGATAATTGTAGCAAATGGCAAAACAGAACAAGTAAAGCTAATAACCGTAAACTGTCACTGGAAATGTATTTTTTTTTCTTAATTCAGAAACTGAAACAGAGAGCTGGAACCATGTAAAAATTCAGAGAAATTCAGGATTATTCGTGTAGTAAGTGTTTCAGCAATCCAAGCAGTGACAATACTTGATCTAGTGAGAACACCAAGCCATGCAGCACATTGCTGGGGATAAGCAGGTGCTGCAACAGTCAGCTTCCAAAAGTGTTTGAGATTTGCTGTGTTGGGTAAGGGCTGCAGGACTGAATAAGGGACGCTCTTTCTGATCACTGGAAAAATGTGATGCATCATAAAGAAAAGATTATTCCTGCACTGTCATTGCTCTATTGTTAAAGCTTTCTAGATTTCAGTGACAACCGCTATATTGTAAGAAGGCATTTCTCGTGAAGAATTTCAGTGTAAAACATTTTAGATAGTGTTTAATGTCAAGGATTTCAGCAATGAAGACAATTTTTCTAGAAAATTAAAGTAAATGGATGTTAACTGTCATGGTAAGTTGTCAAGAAAAACCTTATTGGTGGATTTTCAAAAAGAGTGCAATTTTGTGATCCTAAGCATTTGCAACTACCCAGCTTGCAATGTTGACAGTTTTAATGACTTTGTAATGCTTCAGCCTATGAACTTTTTTAACAGGCTCAGAAGAAACCCGTGTGCCTAGTGTAAGGATGGAACTAAATGGGTCAAAAAAATTTTATTCATTTCAGCGTGGCTGGAAGCATACTGGCCAAAATAATGTTCATGGAGTGACTGATGGATGAAAGATATATTATTGACCAGTATTTCAAATGGAAGTGTAATGATGTGTCTTTAAAAATATGAACATGTTGGCTGTTTGGCTAAAGGCCAGCATGTGTTGGGGTAGGGTATTATTTCTATGTACTTTAAATAAAAAAAGAGGGAGAGACACAATGTAAAGTAGCCCCTCACCATTTGAAAGAATAAAAATAATGAAAGAAAAATGTGGAAGAAAAAAAAAAAACAAACCACAAAACACCCAAGAAGAGAAAACGCTGAAGAAAATTGTAACTTTTTCCAAAATGTTTTATTCTCTTAAGTAAATCAATGCTGTGGACAAGTCTAACAGCGCTTTGAGTGAAATAAAAACCATCTTCCCTTCCTGGTGTGTAACATTCCCATGATGGTTCACCAGTTATTTCTGTGTCTGGGAATAACTAATTCCAGACAGATGCTATAGGAACCACTGTCTTTATCCCACCTGGATCGTAATTACCTAACAGGACAGGAAGAGATTCCCTTAAAAGAAATGTAAATAACTCTGAACAAATATTTAGCCACACAAGATTTTTGTGGAAGTTTATTTTTAAATGTTTTCATAACTCAAGCAGTTAATGTTCAAGGGACAAATAGTCAGAGCTGGATGTTAGAATGTGACAGTAATAAACCCCTCCTGACAGATGAAGCCTCACATAAATTAATGGCAAATGACTGGTAAGGTTGCAAAATTAGAATATTCTAAAACCTGTGTTTAGATACACATTTCACCTGGGGAAAGGTTGCAGGAAATAAGAGGAAAACTTGAACAAAGATATGCAGATAAGACCCTTAATGACCAGGAAAATGAATTGGTTGTCTAATTGCCAGAATGAACATCTGAATGTGATGGTCACTGAAAATGATCCTATGTTTCTATTACGATTAAATATTTCTTCTATTTATTTTAAGATCTGATGGTGGGATCTTAAAATCCACCAATAATGGGTTTAGATTATCTCTTTCTGTGAAATATTTGTATGATTTATGTTTGTGCAGTAATTAGCTTTGAAAATTCCACCCTCCATTTAAAATATTTTCTGCTGGTTGTTAATCCAGTTTTTAAGGAAAACAGAAACAGATTTCTGTGACATTAAACTTGGCTCCTATGCACTTGCCATCAGCAGAAATTCCTTCATGAACATCTTCCAAAATGTATATTTTGAAATTAAAAGATCTACTGATGTTTCTGAGGACATTCCTGTGTGTTTCAATGGATCTGAGCTGGTGTATGCCGATGGAGACTTTTGCCCCTTAGTTACATGTAACTATTGCTCAGGGCTTTTCATGTTAGCAGCTTCTGTGGGGAGTGCACGTGTGTTTTAATTATATAAATGCTGTATTCTGTGCTGGCTCTTGTGTAACATTAGTTCTTGGGGCTATCTGCCGGCATTAGTACTTTTCCATGTAGCAGTAAAAAGAATACATTATTCAAAATGTGCTATCAAAAATACTGTAATCAGATCGTTGTTTTAATGAATTGGTGATGGGACTGCTGTGAATTATACCAACAACTAAACAGCCTTTACCAGGAGGATACTTTGGACGAACTCTTGGACAGAGCCTGTATGAGGGGTTCTGGGAAGAAAACAGACAAAGACTTCAGCAGCTTCATTCTAGCAAGGTAAATCACCAGGAACCTGGATTTGCTGTCATTCGATTTGTTTTCAATGCCAAATGGACTGATAGAGGAAGGGTGAGGGTGGGACAGCTTTGGTTTTTAAGTGGAAGCCTCCTTATTAGCAGGCTACAATGGTTTGGATTCTGGGGAAATTTTTTTTCTGCCAGTCCAAACTGCACTTTGTGAGTCTCGAACTAGAAGCTTTTTGGTTCATGTAAGCATACATATTTGCTATTTGGAATAGGACAGTTCTGCAGGGGCTGAAAAAATCGTTAGTGATTTTCATTGGTATATTAGCTATCATACTTCGTTATTTAACTGGTTTTCAGCTGTGGTCTTCTTTGATGAAAAATACCACTTGCAGAACAGGATCTATATTTAAGCCCATATAACCATACATATCTAGATTTTCAAGGTGGCACTTACTTCAGATATGCTTCTTTGGAAAGAGATCCTTTGCATTGCTGAGGTGTGTGGAAATTTTTTGTTAAAATGAAGCTTTTCTACATCCGTGTTAGCTAGTAATAATAACAGGGATGCTTCTGGGGGTCCTCAGAGGCCTTAATGCACTTTAGCTCTTGTATATTTATTAGGCATTAGTGCCTTGATGCCTCAGGCTTTGCAACAGGCCTTCTATAAAAGCACAGCAAGCTGGATTCTGGGGGAGGGATGGTGGAGCAGGGGGGTGCAGGAGAGGTGGGATTCAGCCTGCCCTGCCAGCTGAGCTGATGCTGGGCTGGCTCTGCTGCGGGGAAGAGGGCTGGTGCAGGAGTGCGGAGGTCAGGGGCTGCTGCCGTCCTGCTGAGGAGCAAGAGAGGCTTCACGAGCGCGGAGCAGCAGCGACGTTTGGTTATAGCGAAGCCCTGCCTGACGTCCGTCTGTCCTCCCACTCCTGCAGCCGTGGTCCCCAGCGGCCTTGGGTCAGGGTCCTTCCACCTTGCCTTTGCCACGTCCAACTTTGAAGCCTCCGCTACTAGGAAAGGTGAAAACAGCACTTAGTGCTTGTACGGCGCTTCATGTGTTCAAAGCTCTTCGCAAACATTAGCTAATTAAGCCTCAGCAAGTCCTTATGAGGCAGGTATTTATTCCAGCTGAGTGTTTGCATTCACAATTAAGAATATGCTAGACATAATCCTGCTGTCAATCAGCCTAATTGACTTAAATATCTAATTGGGTAGATTCCCCCAAGCAATTTCACTTTAAAAAAGGTTAGCCCGGGGAGGGGAATGATGCAGTGGAGAAAAACAGTAGAGGAAATTCTCTGTCAGGGAAAGGCAAGGGCAGCTGTCGGTGGTGGTTTTAAAAGCAGCCGGGGAGACAGGAGCTGTTTTATCATTGCTGCAAAGTATCTTCAAAGAGGTTTGAATTAACCTGGTGTTAAAAAGTCAGTCTTTGTGACTGGGTTTGTTTCAACAGGAAAAATGTGAAGATAAAATCCCTAGTAGTAGCAAGGAGTTGCAGTAACAGCAAAGAGAGCAGCAAGGGACTGAGGGATGCTGCTCTGTGCATAAGC